GGGCCTAGGGCCTTGCTCCTACTACTCGTACTAGGCCAAGGGCTACCACTGAGCTATATTCCCAGGCTTTTGGGTATTTTTCATTTTGAGAGGTCTCACTAAATTGCTCTCACTGGCACTTGACAATCTTATGTCTCAGCTTCCTGTGGAGGTGGGATTACAGGTCCAAGTCCCCGGGAACAGCTTCCCCAAGACCTTAAGAAAGAACTGAAGAATGCATCTCCGAGTCTACTTTGCCTCTTCTCAATCTTCTCATTTGCCTTTCCCACCAGGATTAGTTTGCCATAACCCATCTAGCTGAGCTTTCTACTTCAGGGCCTCGACTACTTCAATCAAACATCAGCTGGGGGAAATTTTCACCTAGATGCTTCAAGAAGAAGAATCTGCTTTCAGGCCTAGGTCTGGGGTACAATTTCTATATTTGCAACTGTAGGATTGATTCACATTTTGTGCTTTGTCAACCAGAGGACCAGCTCAGCTCTGGGGGGGGGCATCCACACAGTTCATCTCACACGGACTTTGCTCTCGCCATACAAATCAGAAACAGCACTGATGTCTTTTCTTCATGACCAGGTGGAGAGAGAAGAGGGCCCTAGGGATCCAACACCTCTGCAGAAAAGGCGAGTGTGTGAGTGCAATCAGTGTTTCCATTGCCTGTTGGTCAGAAGGTAAAAATCATGGGTTCTGCCCAAACTCAACACTGTGAGCAATGGAAAACAATGATCTTAAGGATTACCTTGGAAACTGTGTGCTACACGGGAAGAAGAAACGGTTACTTCTCTGCCTTTGAATATGTCTGGGTTTCCACCTTTAATACCAGGATTAGATCTTCATATTTCTACCAATGGGATAAAAAAAAACCCTACTAAAATCACAAACTCCGTAGACCTGAGCAACAACCATTTGTTTATAAGCCAATTGGGTCTTTACAGTTTAAATTATGTTTATATTCTTCCATTCACTTAAAACTCTTACTTAAAATAACAACCCCTCCAAAGAAAATGTCAATTAGTACTTTGTTTTCTTTCGTTTTTTAAAGTCATTAAACAAATGGTAAATAAAAAAAAATTAACTTCAATCTCTGACATTCTTCCAATGCACCAGAGAGTGTTGGTGATAGTCTCAAAATTCACACAATTGACACCAGAACCAAGTCCCCCTGACCCTCAAAGAGGCTGTGCATATTCTATTGTGCCTGAGAGTAAAAGACTAGATAATTTTTCTTTGAAAGTTATATACACTCATACAGTCTGGAAATAATCGTAATGGCGAGCTGATCTCCAAATGTTAGCAGAACTAAAGTCAGAAGAAGGGAAACCAAGGCTGGGCCCAAGGAGCAAAGGAAGGTTGACAGGCTCTCAGACAGGGATCTACAGCCTGGTAGCTCAGAGAACCAGCGACTGACTGGTCCCAGCAAACTCCCAGGATGAGACGGGAGTTCTGGGCAGGACAACAGCAGTACATGAAGAGCTGCCTCAGAGACAGGCACTTTTCCCATGGAGAAGTGGGTGAACCCATTTACCCCTCATAACAAGCCATGGAAATGCTACCAATTCCATCTGAAGGGAACTGTGGGAAAGCGGCTGGTAAGAAGTGGAGTGGGGACAGCACAGGCTTCTCCCTTAACCCTGCGACTCTGTGATCCCAGTGACCAGGGATGGGGGGGGGGCTCATCCACGAGCAGGTGT